AATATATAATCCGCGGGCTCTAGCCCCTAGGCCACAAGCCCAGCGGCAGCCCTTCAAAGTGATACAAACTAGGATTCTGGAGTCACATCTGAAGTGATTCCACAGTGTCCATTATTACCTGTATGAACCCATGTAAATACTTAACATTTTTAAACCTCTGTGTCATCTGGAATATGGGGATATGACAGTGCCTCATTCTTAAGGTTGTTCCTTCACTTTTTTTTTTTTCAGCAAATATTTATTGAGCACTTACTGTTTTAGGGACTCTCCTAAGTGCTGGAGATACCATGGTGAATAAGAGAGACAAGGATGTTTGGAAGGTATAAATAGGACGATGGCTATAATGCACCTGGCAAAATGCCTAGAAAATAATGAATGATCAATGAATGTTAGCTATTAAAACTACTATGACCAACAATGATGCAAAGTATATGATGTACTCTTGAAGACTTTGCCATCCAGTATGGCATAGCCCTCTGCCATAAACCTTATGAATTTAAGAAAGTCTCTTTACTGCCCTGAACCTCAGATTTCTTATTTTTAAAATAAGAAAATTAGAACATAGTACTTTTAAAACCCTTTCTAGCTTCCACATGCTATGAGTCTATAATTGGTAAGATCTCTTGAGTCTTCAGGGAGACACCAGAAAAGAAAGAGGGGGAAAAAGTAAAAGAAAAAAAAAAATCCCTGATCATAGAAGCAGAAAGTTACAAAAGTCAATGCTAGCATTTCTGTACCTATTTCATATTGTATTTTTTAAAAAAGCATACTACTATTGAATCAGAATATCCACAAAGACTGAGAGCAACAAACACTGCAGGCAATACAATCACATTTGGTAGGGCTTTATTATTATTATTTTTTTGTTTAAAAAGCTGGGTGGACATAGCATAATTTCTTGGGAGTGTCTACAGCACAGATAACCAGACTGTGAGACAGTTGGTCCAATTACAGGTTCTAGAATAGCAGCAAATTCATGTCCAATCAATATATATATATATATATATACACACACACACACACACATATATATACATATATACATACATATATATATAGCAAATGGTATCAAGAGAATTGTAATGTTGTCAGTTTGGTGGTCTTGTAGGGAGACCATCTTCATGTGAAGTCTCAAACACAACAGGACTTAGTGAAGAGTATTCTTTTCTTCTGCAAGTGGAGGTTTAGTGAGATATTCAGAAACTCTGTTTCAAACCAACCAGTGAATTGATTTGTCACTTGGTGAAAATTTGTTGTTGTTCATTCAGCATTAGACTTTGAATCAGTAACAGGGACATTAATTTATGATCTAAAAAAATGAAGAATCAAGAGGACTTCATGCATGACTCACCTTGCTTTTAAAATGTGGAGTAAGTATGATAATAAAATTAGTAGTAATAATGATAGAAGCTACCATTTCCTGAGGGAATGTTAAGCCAGGAAATTTACTTATATGACTTCATTTAATCCTCACAATAACCCAGTGAGCTAGGTGTTATTCTTTCTATATTTCAGATAAGGAAATGACTCAGAGGGTTTCAGTAACTTTCCCAAGGTCACACAGCTAGAGAGCAGCAAATGGAGCCTGAAAATTATCACTCCTCTTCAATAGTGATGGATGTCGGATAACTATCCTGAAAACTCTTCAGATAGAAAAGTGATTCAAGAGAATATAAATGAGTCATCCCTGGACTTCTTAGAGAGACCTTCATTTTTCACATTTACATTTCAAAAGACTACATGATAAAGAAATCACTTGCCATTGCTAGATAAGTACTTCTCCACGCAAGAAACTCAGAGCCCATTAAAGAGAGAGAGAGAGAAAAGAAAGAAAGAAAATGTACCAGCTCTAATTTCCTCTCCATACTAGACAGCCACAAAAGACAGTTAAAGTTCTGGCATTAAAAGCAGGCTGCCCAGCATTACTGCAATCTCCATGAGTTTGCATTTTTAAATAGAACAGTTGTTTCAGTGACATAAATCAAGATATTCTATAAATTTATAAAAAGTGAAGGCCTTGCTTTGCGTCCATATTGATCTTCTGGTATATGCTGGAATGTATATATTTCTCTTTTCCCCCTGTTAGAATGTACCTCTGTTGGAGTAGAGATGTTTATCTTCTTTCTCCAATAACCTCAGTGCCTAGAAGAGGCCCTTGGCATAGTAGATATTCACCATACACTTGTTAGTCAATAAATGAATGAATAAATCAATACGACAAAAAGCAGTTTGGAGATAAATGCTCTCCAACTTCTTTTTGGTGTTTCCTGAAACTGTCACATAACTCAGGAGCTGAAGTCCTCTGAACCAGTCATCTCACCTGCTTATCTAAAAACTTTACATATTTACAATATCTAGGACAAGTATGATTCTGTTTCAAGTATTTCATTCATTATGAAATCAGTGGAGCAAGGAATCTAAAAGGATTACTAGTATCTAGATCATATCAAGAAAAAAAAAACAAACAACCCCTTCAATTCTAGCCTTCCCTTCATAGGTCTGTATGTAATATATGCTTTACCAGTTTGTAAAAACAAGTGATAACAGCTACAGCCTAGGACTCAAGTACCTTAATCATTCCCTGGAAAGACTTCTTTCTTTTCAACTCATCCTCCTGCTTTATCCTGAGAAGCCTTCGCAGTGCTCTTAGGACCGCTAGGAGTCCCTTAAACTACCCCTTAGAGACAACTACCAGGATGATTTATGTGGCAACCTGCTTATTTGTCCTCCTGGCATCCAAGGGGCTACACTTTAACTGCTAAGGTAACTTAATCCCTTTGGCATCTGGGGACTTACTAGAAGGGGAGCTACGGTCTTTCCTCTCCTCTAATACCTGCTTCAGCCTCTCTAATAAGAACTTCTAGCTTGTTAGAGGTATTAGGAAAGAGCACTTAGCCTTTTTGTACCTCTTCTTCCTATCCTAGAACAGAGTAGTGACTCTATAAATGAAGATAATGCTAGATAGTGTAACAAACCTTCAACTTTCCATGACTAAGCACAATAGAAATTTCTACTGCACTCATATAACAGTTAAATGCCATTGGTCCTAGCTGGAAGGCAACTGTTTTACATTTATTGATTTAAGGATCTAGACTCCTCCCAAGTGTGGTTCCACCATTTGTTAGATTCTTGAAAATGAAAGAGATGGTGAAGAAGGCACAACATGGTCCAGAATTGACATACATCATTTCCATTAGTACTGCATTAGCCAAGTATAGTCATATGACCATGTCTGGAGGCAAGGGATAGCCTGGCCCACATCGCTTTTGGTTGGGAACATTCCCAGTGAAAACTTCACAATAAAAGAAAACAAAATTCTTTTTTTTTTTTTTTTTTTAATTTTTGGTGGATGGCATGCCCTGTGTCACACTGAAACCGTGTAGGATGCTGTCTTCCACTGGGGAAGGCAGATTGTTGGGTTACAGACATTTGCTTGCAGGTGCCATGGTTCTCTTCCTCGTTGATGCTCTGTTACTGGAACTGCTCATTTCTGGTTCTCTTCTGTTTTGTGGTAAGCCCTCAGGACCGACTCTTCCCCTGCAGAGGAAGTCTATAGTTGTCCTGTTATCCTACCTGTGATTGAGGAAGTTCAATTCAAAGAGAAGGTAGAATAGGAAGACCATCTGGCCTCAAATTCAAGCTCATTCTACCATTTGGCTTTACCAATGATACACCTAGTATTTCTCTAAGTTTCTATTTGATAAGTAGATCAGTAGGGAGGGAGGGACTGGGGCGGGGTGGGGAAAGGTAGAGATAGAGATAGATAAAATGGTTGTATATACTGCGAATTAGCTCAAAAGTTGTAGGAGAAAGAGGTAATAACCCCACAAAGCCCCATAATTATGTTAGGGGATACTTTGATTTATCTTAAGGTAATTTTACTAAAAATTATGGTTCCTTTTTGAGCTGGCTGAAAGGTCAAAAACAATTGTGAACATTTTAGAAAAAATATATTAAGTCCTACACTTCCAAATAATCTGAATTCTTGAAATTTAAATAGGCTTCCCAAGATAAACCTAAAGGCTCAAACAGACAATAAATATTTAATGAGCAGATATTTTGATTCCTTTGAACTTGGTGTCAGCCATTGTTCAGTCTCTTTGGTGGGTTTTCTAAAAAGTCTTATTCTTGCTCTCCAAACTTCAAGGACCTATCTCTCCAGAGTACATTAACCCCAGTCCATGTGTGGATCATGTACTCAACTTCTTTTGCAGTCATGCTTCAATATCAAAGTCAGTAGTGGGTGGTCTTTCAAAGTGTCCTGGGTGGGAGTTCACGGAGGAAAAGGCAAAGCTCTCTAAGGAAGCACTTGGGTGGCCTGGCATTGAAGACAGAGACAGACTGCAGAGAGAACCAAGCAACCAATATTTCTTGGTGATCCATTTATATACAACCCCAGTGTTAGTACCAGAAACCTTACCCACAGTGGCACTGAGAGTTGGCTTCAGGTCTTGGCCAGGTGGCACACAAGCTGCTTTTAATTGGCTGAGGAAGAACGAGTTTGCTCCAACCCAAATATGAATGAGATATTACATGTGAGTTAGAAAAAAATATTTTAAAGCATGTGTGGCCACTTCTCTCTCCTGTTTGTTGTGGAGTCTATGTTTCATTCATGAAAAAGAATCACAAATAAAATCTTACTGCTGTCAATATGCAGCCATTTTTGACATGATTATTTAACAGCTATTTTCTTCACTTTTTTCCATAATAACAATGTTTAAAATAAAGTGGAGACTTGAATGCAGCCCCATTTTATTTTCTTCTGGCAGGAGAATCTTCAAGTACAATATAAAAATGATACCTACACAGATAAGGTTGAACAGAATGTAGTCGGTAACATCAAATTATGGGTTTATCAAGAATATGAATTAGAAATATGTACTGATAGGGGTGCCTGGGTGGCTCAGTCAGTTAGGCGGCTGCCTTCAGCTTGGGCCCTGATCCCAGGGTTCTGGTGTCAAGCCCCACATCAGGCTCCTTGCTCAGCGGGGAGCCTGCTTCTCCCTCTCTCTTTGCAGGCTGCTCTGCCTATCTGCGCTCTATGACTCTGTCAAATAAATAAATAAAATCTTTAACAAAAAAAAAAAGAAATACGTACTGATAGCGGTTATTTGAACAGTAGGACACTACTGAAGAAAAACAAAAATACGGTATATAGTGTGTTTTCTATATTCCAATCTAACTTATATTATAATTTATAGACTTCAAATGAAAATCCTGAACAACTCATAACTGTCTGGTTCATTGATTTCCATCAAGTCTTCATATCCAAATAATTTAGGAGATTACTTCATGGATAATTAGTACGTTATGGAGTTTCCAAAATCTTTAAATAGTGGTAAGATTTTATATCATTTTAGGGAGTCTCTTTTCTGGTTTATAAATGCCTGTATAATTCAATCATGTAAAAACGATCAGGTAAGGTTTTTCTTGATTTTCTAGAATTGACTATTAAAGTCTACTAATGGGAAAAAACAAAAATGTGCTCTGGACACACATTCTAACTTTAAAGATCCTCTACCTACTGTGGTCAGCCACCTCTGGTCAGGGCTTACATAAGGATGCTGTTATAGCCATCACAATCCCAACCTTTGGCTCCCTTGGAGATCAAGAGAGTAAGTAATCTTTGAAGAGTAGCAACTTTTTCTTCCCAAGCCTTCCCAATGACTGACAAGGAGAAGAAAGGACTTTAGACTTGACCTACAAGGTTGGAGGATAGACCATCTGACCTCCCATCAGAAACTCAGAAAATAGCAACTGTCTTTGGTTTAAAAGTTACATGGCAGCTAAACTAACAGAGTTCCTGAAATTGCTGGTGCTCGGGGACAAGAGCAGGAAGGAGATACTATAGCTGAGGGAATAAGTGCTGAGGAGCTAGGGAAGGGGTAGACAACAGCCTGCATCTCAACCATATTGTTTGGTAAGAATATATGAATGTCCATGAATCATGTGAAAAGTGGTCAAATGTCAATCACCCTGCCACGTTCCCGCCCGAGAGGACTGACCACTGACCAAAAAGATCCCATGAACAAGAGCCTATAAAGGTGAACATACAGTACATGGAGAGGAAAGGAAACTGAAAAAGGGATGAGCCAGACCCTCACATGCTACTCCAGAGGCAGACGTTGTCCTAGAGGAGACCTTCATGGGGTCTTTGGAAGAAACTGCAATGTACCCCAATAAGAACCAGCATTTGGGTATTGGTCACACAGAACCGAAGAGCTGTCAGTCATCATCATATTGAGAATATGTAACAACTAACATGGAGGGGGCAGCCATCTTATCAGGAGTCGTTACAGAGGAAGTAACATCTGTTTTCTTCTCACTGTTTCCCACCCTACCTTCAGGGAAGGAAGTGAAGAAGGTTGGGTATGAGGAAGCAAAACATGCCCTCCATCTTACCACAAGCCACTGGCACCTCTGGTGTAATCCTCTTGGCGTGGGTGAGGGTATGGAGAAGCACTGGGATTGAAGTTAAAATGGAATTATTAAATTGAATATTACTAATATTGTTGAAAATGCTAATATCTAATATATAAAGAGCTAATATACCACTAAAAGATAAAAATTGAAAAAATGGGCCCTTAAGTCATAAAATCAGAATTTTATTTACACCCATCAGATTGACAAAAATATAAAAGCTAAACAATATACTCGTTAGGAAGGATGTAGAAAAAGGGGCACTCTCACACCTTGCTGGTAGGACTGCAGAATGGTATCACTTTCTATAGAAGAAAATTTGGCAATATCTAAAATGTGTATCTATGCATTTGCCCCTAGACTCAGCCCACACATCTAGGAAATTACCCTAAAAATACACCTCCATAAATATTAAACACCTTATATACCAGGTTATTCACTCTAGCATTATTTGTAATAGCAAAATATTGGAAGCAATCCAAATATCCATACATAGGAGATTAAGTAAACTATACTTCATCTGCACAATGAAATATTGCTCATCCATAAAAATGAATGACAGCGAGATGGACAAAATGAAGGAACAGACTCCAAGAGTGGAGTCAGAGATGCAGGGGCTGGAGAGAGTGGAGCTGAAACCACAGGATAGGGGTGGGGGTAGAGGGGCACAACGCTATGGACTTAGAGGACAGAGCATCAAGCAACATAGAATTAATCTCAGACCCTAAAACCTAATGGAATTTATCCTGCTGCGTTGTTAACTTGCTTTAGACCAACAACCCCTTTTATTCTTTCCATTTTCTCGCTTTCAGAATAGGAATGTCTACCCTAAGCCTGTCTCATCATTGTACTCTGGAAGCAGATAATTGTTTTCTAGTTCATAGGTCCAGAGATGGGAAAGGAATTTTGCCCCATGATGGAGGTCTTACTCAGTTTAGGCTACTATGATATAATACCACAGACTAAGTGGTTTAAACAACATACATTTATTCCTCACAGTTCTGGAGACTAAGAAGTCCAGAGTCAAAGCACCAATAGATCTGGTATCTGGTGAGAGCCCTCTTCCAGGTCGTAGACTGCCAACTTCTCATTTTATCCTCATATGGCATAAGGGGATGAGGTAGCTCTCTGAGGACCCTATTATAAGGGCACTAATCCCATTCATGAGGGTTCCACTGTCATCATCTAATTACTTCCCAAAGGTCCCACCTCCGAATACCATTACACTGTTAGGATTTCAACATGAATTTTGGGTGGATACAAACACGCAATTGATTGCAATGAACCATAACCCCTCACTCATACCTGATTTAGAGGATTTAAAAGATGAGATTTGGAGCTTTTTTGAGTTGATTATGTACAGATGAGATTTTAAAGTTAGAGTCATGCTAGAAGAGATTAGACTTTTGGAGACACAGGATGAAGTGAATGTATTTTCCAAGGACATGAATTTTGTTGGGCCAGAGTAGATTATTATGGGTTGAAAAGTGTCACCCAAAAGTCGTGTCTATCAGGAACCTCAGAATGAGAACTTACTTGGGAATGAGGTCTTTTCAGATAAAATTAGTTAATATATAAGGCCATCATGGATTAGGGTGGGGCCCAAATCCAACTTGACTGGTTTCCTTATAAGAAGGCAGTGGTGCAGGGTTCCTCGGTGGCTCAGTCAGTTAAGCACTCATGTCATGATCCCAAGGGTCCTGGGATCAAGCCCCGATGAGCGGGGAGCCTGTTTCTCCCTCTCCAGCTCCCTCTGCTTGTGCTCTTTCTCTCTCTGTCAAATAAAAAAGGGGGGGGCAGTTGTGCAGAGACATAGCAGGAAGAAAGCCACATGAAGACAGTGGAAGAGACTGGAGCGATGAAGCCACAAGGCAAAAAATGCCAAGGGTAGCTGGCAACCACCAGAAGCTAAAAAGAACCAAAAGATTCTCCTCTAGATCCTTCAAAGGAAGCAAGACCCAGCTGATTCCTTGATTCCAGGCTTCCAGCCTCCAGGACTGTGAGAAAATACATTTTTTGTTATTGTTTAAAAAAATGGGAATATGAAAAAATATGCTTATATTTTCAAGTCAAAAAAGTGAGATGCAGAATAATATATATAGTAGTTCTACCTTTGGTGTAAAAAAGAAGAGAGAAAGTTATACACACACACACACACACACACACACACACACACAAGATAAACCATAAACTAAAGAAATGATTACATGTAGAAAGTTAGTAAAAGTAAGATGGAAGGAATAGGAATGGGAGGGAGGTTTCTCTGGGTATATCTTTTGATATTACTTAATATTTTTATAACCATGTAAAGGTTTTAAATATTCAATAAATACAATTAAGTCAAAAGAAAAGAGATCTTAAAACTGTCTATAAAAAGAAATAAATGAATCTATTTTTTATCAAAGTAATAATTGAACCATGCAGAAAAAAATAATTCATTTTTGGACATAGTCTCTGACCAAATAGCCAAAGAAATTATCTGTCCAACTGAGAAAATTTATATATGGGCTGGATATTAGACAATATTACGGATCTTTTTTTTAAATTTCTGTATTTCCATTCAAATTTCCCCAGTTTCCATAACATTTCCAAGAAATTATTAATTATTCACTTTCTAGAGTGATAATGGTATGTGGTATTCTTATTCTTAAGAGATGCATTTTATATTTTATAAGGAAAACAATTGCCATAATGCCTACAACTTGCTTTTAAATAGTAAGCCAAATATATATACACATACACACAAGGAGGGAATTATGTCTATTTTTATATAATTGGTACGCATATATAATAAAGTAGAAGGTACGTGGTGATCTTTATACTTCTTTATACTTTCTATTCTATATACTATCTATGGGTTTGAACATTTTCAAAACAAAGAGTTGGGGGGAAAATGAATAGGCTCATAACCTGGAAGAATTCTGGACTCAGGCAGAGAACACAAATGGAGCCAGAGACTCCGAGGAGAAAAGGATTCTATTAACTGGGCACAGTTAGTGACTGTTACTGGAAAAATAAAACTAATCCATGTTTGTACCCCAAAGAGTGGGGTCGTTCATTACATGTAGACTACCAACTCTTTAAGGAGCCTCTCTGGGATCAATTTTTTTTTTTTTAATTCCTGTATGCCAGGGATCATACTCATCCCTGGGACTAAAGGATTCTAGAGAAAGGGAAGATCCTTCAGAGTTGACAGCAGCCAAGTCTAACTTAACTTGTCAATAGAAGAAAAAAGCAAAGCACCATCATTAAACAGTATAAAACTGTCATTGTAACTCACGATCAGATGAAGCCAACACAGTCAAAATGGATTACAAAGGCAAACAAAAACTAAGAAAACAGAAGGGAGATGTGCCTGTCCTGAGACTGTTGTGCTCAGACCATCTCTTCAATCCTGTTCTGAACTCTAATTTGGGGACAAGCTGATGCCTGCAGGCCACCTTTCCCAGGTTCCTATGTCAGCCAGCTTGCAGCAGACTTTGGCCAATGGAAAATTTTAGAAAGAAAGCAGAGGGCAGGAGACAGGGAAGGAGTAAAGCCAGGGTGTTTATAGCCTCCTTCCCTGGCTGGGTGGGTTCTTCTGCAGCAGCTGGGTGAATCCAGCCTCCACCAGATAGGCTTCCATGCTTCCAATTCCTAATGTTTGTGCAGAACTCCCTGGGCACTGCTCATATTTTCTCTTCCCCTTTCCGCTCTAGCCTAGGGGTGGCTGGAGCCTCCTACTGTTCCCAGTGGGCTATCTCCCCATTCTCTGCTAGCATGTCAACCTTCCCTTTCTTGCTCAAATAATGCCTTTGTAAATTCCCCATGTTTTAAATATACAGAATTATTTTTTCCTCTTTGGATCCTGATGATTCAGAATGTGAAAGGGAAAGAAGAGGTAAAAAGAGAATGAATTATTGGCACAGTTGTATATGAAAACACACACAATAGGTAGAGAATGGCAAATACTCTGAGAGTATTAACCAGTGTACACCATTCTCTTCTATAGAACCTAGTACTTTTAACTTTTGAGCCTGATTACATGTAGAAAGTTAGCCAAATCTCATCAGTCATCTGACAACAACAGCATAATGGTTAAGAACATAAATTCTAGAGCTAGAAAACCTGGGTTTATATCAGCTTTACCACTAACAGTTCTGTCACTTTAGGTAGTTATTTAACCTTTCTGTGCGTTGGTTTCCTTATCTGCAAAGTGAGGGTAATAATACTATGTACTTCATATAGGGTTAAAATGTGTACAAAGTGAGCACAATAAATATTCTTTAATTCACTTATTTCGTTCATTTTTACACAGCAAACTTATGAACTGATTACTGTTTACTGTGTTACTTTTTCCATACAATTATTTTCATGTCTGGTCACAGTTTTCAAGGTACTTTATATGTACACCTCCATTCCACCCAGCAATCTAGCTGAGATAGATTGAATAGGTCATTAGTGAACCATCCTTGGGATCCTACCCTGCTTATTTTTAACAAATCCTCCAACTTTGTATGGCAAAAATTACATGTAAAATACAAAAGGCATTTGAAAGCCATCCATTAGGAATATTCTTGTAGGTGGCCTTATTAATACTGATATATTTTTAATAAAAAATAAAACCTATATTGAACCAATATCAAGAAAGTAATCAGTTGTGAAATCAACAAAGCCAATAACAGAATTTAGAGATGGCTACTCTACAATTTGAAATCCTGTCATTAACCCTGATTTATAAGAATCTGTAGGGAAGATTGACAACTCAGGAGACAACATACTGGAAGGACCTAGAAGAAAGGGAAATGTGGGTGGAAAATAATTCATTAGCTCTATTACCTCAGTTCAATTCAGTGAAAGGAGTTATTTTACTCATCATTGTTTCCAAGGAAACTATGGTTGACTCATCTCACAGTTCAGTATCTTGCAATCACATATACATGTCATGAACACAACAGTTCTTACTCTACAATTCATCTATGTGCTTAATGCCCACATAGCGTACACCTTGAGAGCAGTATCCATTTGTAGTAAAATTGAATTTAACCTGAATGTTTATCTAATGTTTTCGGTCTTATTATTTTCAATGATCCTTTGTTAAAATAAAACCACATTCATTAATAGATGGCCAGATTATACTTATTTGCCTTCTCTTACCATACTGACATACAATATATCACAAAATCACCAATTTAAACAAAAAGGTATTTTAAACCATGAGCCCACAAATTATCAGTACATGCCAGTCTTTCTTATATTTTCTCTTGTGTAAATTTCATCATAAAAAACGTAAGTGTAAATATGCATAGATGTAAAAGCAAAGGCAAAGTATGAAGATTTTTCAAACTGGACTATATGAAAATACCACCACTTATTTGTCATATTTTCCCCAAAGGCACCTAAATTATTAAGTAAAAGCTTCCTGAGCTTTTAAGACACCGGATATTTGAAACCTTGTAAAAGCTGACATTCCTGAGGTGGAATATTTCATTTAGCTGTTGTTAATATTCAGTGCCTGGCCAGACATCATTAAATTAGCGGGCAAAGGTAAAACATACTGTACAGAAAGAATTATATCACAAAACTCCTTGCCATCAGGTAAAGGTAGTATTAGTGAGTTCAACCTTGATAATGAGGGTATACCAACTGGGAGTTCTCCTTGTCTGCCGGTATTGTGGAGCGCCTCCAGGTTCCACTCATCAATCAGAATAGAACACTGCATGACTGCATAAACAGAAAACATTATTCTCAAGGTCTGAGGTGATTGCAGGAAGATTTTAGAATGTTGTAGTAAAACAAACTTCTCTAAGTTTTAGGGCAGAATTTGTAAACTGCACTTTGAGAGCATACATAGAACATACATATATCTTGGGAATTTCCATGAATTATTAATAAGTATCCCAATGCAAAGGGATAACAATTCTAGTGAGGCTCAACATAGGATGACAATCCTGAGTCATAGTCATACAGAAATGATCAGCAGAAACAATAATTCAATAAGCAAAAAAGTCACCCTAAACCAGAACAGATGAAATTCTCAAGCTCTCCAAGCTAAGGATTTTCACAATTCCTGAAATGTGATATTGGGAAATATTTTCAGACCTCTGACTTTGTTGATATCTAAATCTGTCCACATCTATATAGCTAGCTGGTAAGCTTTTTGTTGTTGTTGTTTTAAATATGCTTCATGTAACAGTAGAGTCATCTAAATAAGGATCTCATTTCATCACATTTAATCAGTTTAGAAGACCTATTAGTCATTTCCACTCCCAAATCAATTTATTGTGCTAAATACCCTGGAAGAGACAAGTACACATACTACACATTCCTATTCTACCCAATGCCCCTGTCACCACTGTACAAACTACTCTATATGCTAGGTGGACAGGCTGTCTACACCGAGTGAATCCAAATGTACTGTTCTGTATTTAAAATCTATTCATTCCACACCTGGATAAAAGGAACTAACAAGGACCAGATTTACCCAACTACCTGAAACAACTAAAAATATGGTAAATATTTTTTAAAAGTTTAAGATGTTGGACATCAGGCAACAAAGGACAATGATTCCTAATTGATGGGAAACAAATGAGATGAACCCTACACTCACCCCTTATTACTGTCTGTTGGGTTTCAAAGCTCAGGCACAGGGGACAGGAACCTAGGCTGAACACCCTCAAACTTTCCAAGGATCTTAGGAAGCTTAGGAAGGCCAAAGCAGCTAGTGAAAGCAGAGTACTTAAAAGGAGAATGCTACACAAAGATTCTTCATAGATCTGCAGGAGTCTGTAGCTTAATATCCATGAACACATGTGTTTGAGGAAACTACCGAAGCTAGAGAATTAACCAGCACAATACCCACAGTTCCCACAGGTTCTTGAATAGTTCCTCTTCCCATCAGTCAGAGTCAAAGACCTCATCATTCATAGGCATCAAATTTCATGGAGAACTCAGAAAGGTTTTGCCTCAATAGTGGGGAAAATTTACCCTAGATAACCCAATTCCCCTTACCTAGCAAAGCTTAAAAACAAGGCCCCAAAACTATCTTCAAGTAACTAAAATATCTCCTAGTTAAAAACTCAGAAATATTCATAGGACTGCAAAATTATCCACTAACCAACAAGATAAAATTCACAATGAATATCTGACATGTAATTACAATTTTCTATCCAAAAAAGCAGAACAATATAAGTCATAATGAGGAGAAATTTAATCAATTGAAACTGACCCAGAAACAACACAAATAATAGAAGTAGTCAACAAGGACATAAAAATTATAAATGGATTTCATGTGTTTAAGTAGTTAGCAGAACGATTTAAATGTTAAGTAAAGGCATGGAAGATTTTACATAGCCACAATTTAAATTCTAGAAATAAAAACTAAAATATTACAGATGAAAATACCCAGGATAGGATTAAGGACATATTAGACACAGTAGAATATAAGATTAGTAAACTTAAAATATAATAGTAGAAATTATTAAGTATGAAGAACACACACTTAAAGTGTCCTAAGTTTTGTGTAATTGGGAGTTCTCAAAAGGAAGAGGAGAGAAAAAATATTTGAAGAAAATGTAAGCAAATTTTCCAAATTTAATTAAAACTATGAACTCAGTTGGAACAAACAATTCTAAAATCTGTATGGAACCAGAAAAGACCCTGAATAGGTAGGGGAATGTTGAAAAAGAAAACCAAAGCTGAGGGCATCACAATGCCTGACTTCAAGCCCTATTACAATGCTGTGATCATCAAGACAGTATGGTACTGGCACAAAAACAGACACATAGATCAGTGGAACAGAATAGAGAGCCCAGAAATGGACCCTCAACTCTATGATCAACTAATCTTTGACAAAACTGGAAAGAATATCCAATGGAAAAAAGACAGTCTCTTCAAAAAATTGTGCTGGGAAAATTGGACAGCCACATGCAGAAGAATGAAACTGGACCATTCTCTTACACCATACACAAAGATAAACCCAAAATGGATGAAAGACCTAAATACGAGACAGGAATCCATCAAAATCCTAGAGGAGAACACAGGCATTAACCTCTTCAACTTCGGCCATAGCAGCCTCTTTCAAGACACATCTCTAACGACAAGGGAAACAAAAGCAAAAATGAACTATTGGGACTTCATCAAGATAAAAAGCTTTTGCACACCAAAGGAAACAGTCAACAAAACCAAAAAGCAACCTATGGAATGGGAGAAGATATTTGCAAATGTTTTATCGGATAAAGGGCTGATATCCAAGATCTATAAAGAACTTATCAAACTCAACATCCAAAAAACAAAAAATCCAGTCAAAAAATGGGCAGAAGATATGAATAGACATCTCTCTAAAGACAACATACAAATGTCCAACGGACACATGAAAAAATGCTCCACATCCCTTGGCATCAGAGAAATCCAAATCAAAACTAAAATGAGATACCACCTCACTCCAGTCAGAATGGCTAGAATTAAAAAGTCAGGAAACAACAAATGTTGGCGAGGATGCAGAGAAAGGGCAACCCTCTTACACTATTGGTGGAAATGCAAAGCTGGTGCAGCCACTCTGGAAAACAGTCTGGAGATTCCTCAAGTTAAAAATAGAGCTACCCTACAACCCAGCAATTGCACCATACGTATTTACCCCAAAGATACAAATGTAATGATCTGAATGGGCACCTGCATCCCAATGTTTATAGCAGCAATGTCCACAGCAGCCAAACTATGGAAAGAGCCAAGATGTCCATCAACAGATGAATGGATAAAGAAGATGTGGTATATATACGTGTGTGTATATATGTATATGTATATAGGTATATACACACAATGGAATATTACTCAGCTGTCAGAAAGAATGACTACTTACCATTTATATCGATGTGGATGGAACTGGAGGGGATTATGCTAAGTGAAATAAGTCAAGCAGAGAAAGACAATTATCATATGGTTTCACTCATATGTAGAACATAAGGAATAGCACAGAGGATCATAGGGGAAGGGAGGGAAAATGGAATGGGAAAAAATCAGAGAGGGACACAAACCATGAGAGATTCTGGACCTCTGGGAAACAAACTGAGGGTTGCAGAAGGGGAGATGGGTGCAGGGATGGGGTAACTGGGTGATGGGCATTAAGGAGGGCACATGATGTAATGAGCACTGGGTGTTATACGCAACTGATGAATCACTGAACACTACATCAGAAACTAATGATATACTATATGTTGGCTAATTGAATTTAAATTAAAAACACCTATAAACTCGCAAACCCAAGAAGCTCAACAAACTTCAGGCACAAGAAACAAAAAGAAAACTACACCACAGTACTTAAAGCCAGTGATAAAAAGAAAACCTTAAAAGCAGCCGGAAGGGAAAAAAAAAAAAAAAACATACTTATGTATAGAGAACAAAGTTTAGAATGACAGGAGCCTTTTGACTGGAAATAATCTAAACCAGAAGACAGTAAAACCACCACTTGGAAGGACTGAAAGAACAAGAAAACTGCCAACCTAGATTTTAGGAACAGTAAAATGTTTTTGTTTTGTTTTGTTTTGTTTCATAAACAAAGGTGAAATAAAGACTTTTCAGATATATTAAAGCTAAAAGAATTCATTATCAGAAAATCCATGCTATAAAAAATGTTAAAGGATATCCTTCAGTAAGAAGGAAATACCAAAAGAAAATCTGTATCTACACATACAAAAAAATGAAATAGTAACTACATGGATAAACATAAAAGTTTTTTTTAGTTTCTTGAAATATAATTGTTTAAATAAAAAAAAAACAGTGCACTGTGTGATTCATTATATATGTAGAAGCTAAATGTATGACAATAATAGTGCACAGCCTAGAAGGGGAAAATGCAATTATCCTATTGTATGGATCTTATATTACTCATGGAGTGGTATACTAGCACTTAAAGGCAGACTTTGAAGTTTAAAAGGAGTACTATAAAACCTAAAGCAACCCCTAACATAAGCCCACAAAGGGTATGGTGGTGAACGGAATCATAAATAGTTAAATGATCCAAAAGAAAACAGGCAAAGGGAAAAGGGATAAAAACAAAAGATGAGATAAATTAAAAACAAATAGCAGAAATATAAATTTAAACCAAACCATATAAATAAATACATTAAATATAAGTAGCTCATTCCTAATGTGAGTGGGTTTCCTCCCATCAGCCTGAATAGAACAAAAAAAGCTGACCCTTTCTAAGAGAGAATTCTTCCTGCCTGACTGCCTCTGAACAGAGACATGAGCTTTGCCCTGTCTTGGGACTCGAACTGAAACACTGGCTCTTCTTGGATACAGGGTCTGTCAGCCTTTGGACTGGAATACACCATCAGTTCCCCTGGTGCTCAGGCCTTCAGTCTCTAACTGGACAATGCCAGAGGGCTTTCCTGCGTCTCCAAGCTTGCTGACTCACCCTGCAGATCCTGGCACTTGCTAGCCCTCATAACTGCATGAGACCAGTCCTTATCATACCTCTTCTAAAAATATATATATATTATTGTTACCAATAGGTTTTATATATACACATATGTTTATACACACACACACACACCCCTACACATATACATATAGTTTCTGTTATTGACTGCTTCATTTCCCTGAAGAACTTGGGAGAACCCGTGAGGAGCCCTGACTCAACACTGTTTTAACACTACTCAAAATTTTTAAAAGTGGTTTAGTACATT